ATTAAGAAATTGTATTTTTTGTAATTAAGTCTTAAGAAATTGACTAATCAAAATTAGGTTTTGTCACTAAATTGAGCGATATCAGTACACCTTAAATCCGACATTTCAAATTGTTCAGTTAAAACCTTTAATTTTTATAATGTATAAATTAAAGATTATAGAGAATACATTTCATTTTTTATTATATAAGAGTAAATCACAATTAAATTTCTATTAGTTCGTTCCATTTGCTTCTTTGTTATATATTTCGACCAAACGATTAAAAAAAAACGATTAAAAAAACGATTAAAAAACGTAATACAGTTCTATTTATTATATATTGAGATAAAAAAAGTTATTGACTGTGATAGCGTTTACTTCGGTCAAATAAATCACGCTTAATTTCGCAGTAAAAAATTGTTATTAAATATTATATACCGCACTACGGAAGTAGGAAAATGTCAAGTGTGAAAAAATACATACAATTATTCGTGTTGAATGTAATTAATTTAATTATATAATAATTGACATAATTGTATAAAGAATAAAACAATTTTACTCCAAAGGACAGGAATGAGTTGTGGAAGAGTTAGGATTTGATTTAAAGCCGCTCTCGAAATTCCGCAACGTTGAACACCCGATTTCGGGAATCGGCGATTAGTTTTAAATGGTGCGCGAACAGATTCCTCTAATCAGAGGGCTCGTTTCCGATTCGGCTTTCCATCTCTCGCGGACAAACTGCGGATAATGATCTCAACGGCGCGGTCAGAAAGTTGACCGCGCTCGACAGGAATGCGCGATAATTTATGAAAACGTCACTTTCGGCCTCTCGGTCCACTCGCGTACACGTCTCTCTATATCTCACTCTGTCTCCCTCTCTCCCTTTCTCGTGGGCGTCGTTAGAGCGAACCGCGGAGTACCGTACACGTATTTACGCACTAGAGAAATCAATAAACCATGTCCCGGGAAACGTGGGTTTAGGCGAGCGAGACGGTGTCAGACGCCACCGGCGAGAGGGCGCGGAAGGGTAAAACGGTAGGGTAGCGCACCCTTTGCACGCTATCCAGCTATTAGACAATGCAAACAGTATCGTTGCTCCGCGATCGGCAATTTGAATCTCGATACCGTGCCTTCTACGAGACGCTTTCGCCATTATTTTTACCGTCGCCATTCTTTTGCATTTGCACACAAAAAAGATCATTCTTGTTTGCAAATATCTTTGTTGTTGACATTTTAATCTTTAGATAAGAGCACAGCGTTAAACAATGATATGCAAGAATATATTTTATATGATTTTCAACGAAGAAAAATCTGTGTTCTTATTATTCCAAAATAATTTTCACCAATGAAAAACACAAAATATTGAATTGAGAATATAATGTTTGTAAATGTTGGAAGAAGATATTATTACTATTAAAATAATTATATAATATTTCTTATGAGACTATTATAATATTCTAATAAAAATTATAATAATATTCTAATAAAAATTATAGCATTACGGAAATTCAAGACTTCAAAATACTTCTAACAAAATTATATATCATTGTTTATATATGAAACAATGATTCTTAATTTAATTAGTTTTGAATAGATAGGAGGAACTTATAAGGGGAAGAACCTATAAGGTTAACACACACATTTAAAAACATACTCTCAATTCAATACTTTGTGCTTTCTATTAATGAAAATTATTTTTCAACAATAATACAGGTTTTTCTTTGCTGCGTAAGTTCACCTTGTATTTCTGTCCCTGCGAGAGTGAAACGAGTCGACTGTACGCGTAACATCAGTAGCTCTCAATAATCCGTTATAAACTGGTCCGCGCGGATTACAACGTACGGTGCGTTACAGTGCGTTCGCGCAGATTACAAGATTACAAATTTATATCACGAGATAGTCGTCACCGCGGACGCAAGGTAGCGATCGGATTAAGACACGACCGGGCGAAATGCGATTCCAGCAGCGGATTATTACGCGTTGGACGTTTATGCAAAAAAGTAAAATCGTGCGCGCGCGAGCGTGAAGGACGGTCAACGTTGTAAATTGATATATCGAAATACTCGTCACGCGACGCGAGGTAACGACAGCGAATCGAGCGGATTATCGAGCTTCCACCGAAACTCTCTTATCCGCGGGTCACGTAACGCACGTGCGCACCAGTTACGTAACGTGGGATCGATGTCGCGTTTAAAATCGCCCCCGTCGTCGCCATTTATTCCCCGGGAATAGTTTTTCCTTGCGCGCAAAATACGCGTTCCTACTTTTGCTCGTTATTAATAACTCACGCGTAATGAAGAGGCCATGATAGCTTCATATATAGGCATATTCGGCGAGGGACGGTGCAGGAATGACAGGAAGAACGAGAAACGATCTCATTCTGTTCGGCCCGATCTCGTCTCGTCTCGCGTTATTAGTGCGAGCTTCATCGAGCGACGAAGCGTCAGAATTGTCGAGGGTCGACGAAGGGTGACTTTAAGGGCGGCTCTCTCGTTAAAATGCGAATACTCGACTTAACGTAAAGGTTAAGTAAATACTTCCGGCGAAGAACGAGCGGCGTGACCGATCGAGCAAAGAACTCCAAAAAATTTACGGCGAACGCATGATGTATGCCAACATATCGTTGATACGCGTCTAACGCTTCAGTTTATTTTAAGAGTTTATTCATTTGTTGCAATTCTTTGGTATTTAGCGGTAAATGTTTGATGATTAAATTGCTTGCTGCAATTAAGCGGGTTACACTGAGCGAACAATTTTAATTGCATAATTTAATTATGCGCTCAGAAAAGCGCCTAATTATTACGACCAGTTAAAAATACTAGCCGAAAGAGATTTAAAATAATATGATTTTAAAGGAATATTTAAAAAGCGAGAGCAAATGTACCTCGTTGTACGTGGGATTGTGACGAGATCGTCAGTCGCGGCGCCAGTTAGCCAGCCAGCGACTCATCAAAGAGAAACTCGCGTGCAGGTGAAAACACATGATTTCAGTGCGTTCGAGTATTTGGAAAGAAAGCACCGAGCGTATTGTGTCTCGCGTACTTGAAACGAGATAGAAGCGAAATTCATAATTACGGGAAGCGGATGGTTGATCGCTCAGCGTCGTCCGGGCACGAGGAGAGCCCGCGAAAGTCGTTAAAAGGGTAGAAACGGCCGCACGGCAACTTAAAGCGAAACGGGCAGGACGATTTCTATCGACGAGAGCGTTCCGCTTCTCGAACAAAGCCCGTCCGCGTTTTCGGGTTGCTGTGCAATCCACCGGTCTCTCTCTCTCTCTCTCTCTCTCTCTCTCTCTCTCTCTCATCCTCTCTCCGCGTCGTGGATAGTCGAATGCGATCGTCGGGCCAACATCCGGCCGAAATCGTTTTCGGGGACGCGGAGTTCCGACCGCGCCCGCGTCGTCGACGTGCAAACAAACTTCGCAACTTTCGCAGATTGCAGATCACGCGACCGGGCGGCCTCGCGGGCGCGTTTACGCGAGATTGGATCGACAAAGCGACTTAACGTGTCCTTATACATCCGTAACTTCGACCGCGATCGATTTTTCCTCGTCGAAGCGGTTCCTCGTTGTGACCGAGCGGTCTCGTCAGAGAATACTGTACACCAAACTACATTCGAGATGAGACGCGCAGGCCTAGGAATGCGTCGGTGCGTGATGACACGCTCGCTAAGGGCATTTGTTCATGAACGAAAAGACAAACGCGAGGTGCAATAATGACGTCGATAGGATACGGAGGTGGAAAGACAGAGAGCGAGAGAGAGGAAGAGAGATGGGTGCAACGAGTAGTATCGCGTAGCTACTTAGAACTTTCGGAGCTTGTCTTGTGTCCCTACTAGTTGGCACCTTGCTTACTTAGCTCAGGTCTGCGCAACTTGCCTTCCTTCTCTCGCAGCTTCTGTTTCCCTCTGCCCTTCATACCTTCCGGACCTCCCTTTTCCATCCCTCGTTATCCCGTCCCGTCCTCTCCTTCTCCCCTGCCTCTCAGGCCCGTTTCCCCTCGGCCCCCTCAGCGGCTTAAGTCGAAGTTTACCTTTGTTCCCGGCTGTCAGTCCGATATAGTTTCCGGCTACTATCGCCGCTCCAACGCCGGTGCATCCGCTACTGTGCACACGGAAAACCCTCCGGTTGTAACGATATTAATCCGCTTTAACGGTGCATTTTGAAAAGGACGATAATCGGCGAAATCGCCGCGTTCGGCGGCGCTCGCGGTGCGAGGCAGCGCGACGGCGAAATTTGCGCCTCTGCCGTCGCCGCCGCCGCGCGCGACAGAAATTACTTCGGTATTTGGTTTGTAAATTTACGCCGGTATTCAAATAGGCGGCCCGCGATGGTTTATACCTTTTTTCAGAGTGCAAATCAACGTAAATACAGTCCGCGGTGAGGAAGAACAGCGGGGCGTAAGCACCGCCTCGCGCGATCCGCGTATTTCAAACCACCCGTTCGAACCTATTACCACGAGAAAAATGTGTCGCGCATTTTTTTCCCCGCTATTTGGCGAAATTGACTCTTTCGATGTGGAGCGATTTTACATTGTGGATTTCATTTAATGTACGCTGACGACAATTTTCAATGATAATTTTTTTGCCTGGTCAAGCAATATTTAATTGATATACGGTTTAGTATAGATTGTTCATGTGCGCGTGTACGTATGAAAAAAACCGAGTGAAATGAGTTTTTCAAACATTTTTTTCCATATTTGTCGAATACTGTCACCTGACGTAAAACGTAGCTTTTTCGCATACGATTCTAGGGGATCGGTTTAATAAATAGCAAATTGCGGACCTGGTAATACAGTGATACATACACGTATCGTAAATTTCATTTCTGTTAATTTCAATTTGTAAGTGGTGCGAATAGGTGAAGTTTACGAGACACCGGGAATAAAATATTTTGGACGTTCGCTCTCATAAAAACATGAAATCGAAAAATTGTGCACGCGCACATAACGTAATTCTTTAAACGAGATACATTCGAGTATGCGCAAATATTTATAACTGTGTTTCTCCCGTTTATGTTTCAGGAAGGATAAGTGCTACCGATGCATCGTGATGCACGCGCAACACACGAACGTGCTACAGTACAAAGAAAGTAAGTTGTGCGATTAATAATCAACGAGATTCCGAAATCAAAAGTGTCCGTGTTTTGAAAAATAAAAAAAAAAGAAAGAGAGATATCCATAATGACGTAGTTTTTAAAATTTGCAGTGAAACGCATTCTATTATCTCAACTTCGTATCGCATATATTTTATCACTGTACGCCGTTTATTTATATGACGATAAAATTCTCTAAAAACAAGCTTCACCGTTTGTTGCCAGCTTATTGCACGAGCGAGTCGCCGGAGCCGAGTCTGCTGTTCAAGTGCAGTCTGTTGACCAGCGACGCCACTCTGGTCTCCCTGTTTCGCATCGGTGCAGCGCCGCTGCCCTGTCCCATTAAGGGACCCTTGGAGTTCACCTACAGCCAGGGCGAGGGCGAGTGCAATTCGCCGCAGTCACGGGCGGAAGCGTGCACGCAGGAGTCGCGGCTGCTCCTGCGCTATCAAGCGTGCGCCAATGTTCATTCGTCTGAAAGCGTCGGTCAGTATTCCTCCCGACATTCTTCCTACTTGACCGCGTATCATCGTTCTCACATACACGCGAAACACACGAGAGAGCGTCGTCGGGGTCTTTCCTTACATTTTCGTGAATTTCTCGGGCGTCGCTCGGGACAATTGACACACACATGGCCGATATAAAACGATATCGTTGGCACGAACCATGGAACGACATTGCATTGTGCATTGATCATTCACACGGTGATTGCGTTACAACTGTTTACATACGCTCACAATTTGTCAAATGAATACCGAAACAATTATGAATTATGCAACGGGCATGGTTCAATCACCGCCTAGTGACGTTTCGCCATTGGCCCGAAATAATTAATTCGTATCGCTGCAATCTACAATTATAAAGCGCTCGCGTAGTATCTCGATATATTGACGCAAATTTACGAAGTTGCCGTAGTACGAGTATTCTACGCTACGATTCGCGACCACGTCATCATCAAATTGCTCGTGTTTATTCGCGAGAATTATTGAAAATCGCTAAAATTTCTCTTGTTTCTGACAACATTCGTTCACAAAATTGTGGACATGGTCCAATGAGTGACATTGGGGAGAATTCATATCTTGGCAGAAAGGCAAAAGCCAATCGCATTTGTAGAAAAGCAGAAACTACTCGACTACCACTTGACTATCAGCTGAAAACTGATTTCCCGATTATCGCGACGAATTAGCACGACCGAGTCACCGTTTGATGTGTGTGAAGCGAGCGATAAGACTGTCGCGCGTTGTCGATGTTGTCGCGTCGGCGAATATTCCGACGACCGGCGTAAAAAGGAATTATGACGTCGCGGCCCCGGCGCGGTGACGTTAACATCCGGTTTGACATTAATTAACACGACGCGCAAGGCCTGTAACGGTCAATAAAGCTCGCGGCTTCGGAATGAATGATTAATGGCCTTGTCAATTACCATTTGTTGCTGGGCTTGTCCAAACGATTTTGCGCAATTATCATCGGCCCGTGCCCGATCGTCTATCTCGATACGCGCGGATAAATGAATACACTGCGCCGCACTGCACGTCTCTGCCCCCCCCCCC